TTGTTTTTGTTTTCTTTTTGGTATTTGTGGCTTTTTGGTCAAAGATAACAAGCACTAGGGTTTTGTTTTGGAGTGTTTCCATATACAGAATTACACATATGAACCTTATGTGACATCTTTCAGAATCTCCTTCAGGTTTATTTCTTAGCTCTCCTGGCTGCTTATTGCCAAGTGGATGGTGGGACAGAATGAGACCTCACTTGAAGAATTCAGCATCTCCTCCTAAACACTGAGTCAGTGACTAATTTGGAAGTTAATTTCTAGTTCTTCAAAAAAATGGATGGTTGGTTTGTGAGTAGACATGAAAGCACGTGTGCTAAATAGGATAGACCACTGATATTTCTGATCTCATTTTTTATACAAGGCAAAATTTCTAAGAAATAAGTATGAATCTTCCCTTGAGGACCTGAGCTGACATTGATAAAAGATGCTGGGATCTAGCTAAATGTGAGAAATAAATTATTGACACCACATGCTTGCTCTATATCCTTTTGAGGAGAGCATGTTTCCCTTCTCTGGTTTATTTAACACATTTCTCATGGCTGGAATACAGAAATGTCCTTGGAATATCATTAAGGTCAGTGCTATTTTAGAAGTTTTCTGTGAGGATAAATCTTCACCCCACTAAATGTGAGAGTGGAAGGAAGAGGAAGAGGTTTACCTATTTGCTGTCTTGGTAAATACTTCAGCAATGTTCATTCCATGGAGAAAATGAGCTGCTAGGATTTATGATTAGGTTCTTCCCTTCTTGGTAAAAATGTCTGGGTTTTACAACCTGACTTACTCCCAGATTAATTTTTTAAATGTTGAAATTGTGATCTTATTAAAGTAAAAAAATGGGAAATGGAAATTTCTAGTTGATCTGTAAAATCATATTTCCAACTGTTTCTGTGCCAGAGTTGCAATTTCAGACGTTTTTTCCCAAAATCTTAGTACTTTGCAGTGACATTATTCACTTACCGAGTCAGGTTAAATGACTCAAATAGTCCTGCCATTTTAACTTAGTACTGTATCTTAAGAAGTTTCCAAACTAACTTTAAGCCTCCAGAAAAGGTTCTTCAGCCAGAGGGCGGTGGAGCACTGGAACAGGCTCCCCAGGTAGGTGGTCATGGCACCAAGCCTGACAATATTCCAGAATCCTTTGGACAACATGTGGCCTCAGACACATGGTCTGAATGTTGGGATTGTACTATGCAGGGACAGGAGTTGGTCAGATGGTCATTGTGGGTCCCTTCCAACTCAGTGTTCTATGTTTTTAAGATCTTCAGGATCCCAGACCTTCATTTCTCTGGTGTTCCCATCTGCGTGACTTCTTTATTGACACTTCCCAGAATTTTTGGTCATCTTTGCTTATTGCCATTTCTTTTTGCCTTTTCTGATTTTACTGTTGAGTAGTCTTAATCCTTTTTATTCCAGCATGGATGACATTAAATCTGGTCTACTAATCTGTATTACAGATTTAAATTAAAAAAATACAAAAAATAAAAAAAAATCAGGTGTAACAATTAAAATGTCTCACTTTTGCTGCCAAATGTAGGGAATGAATTCTTGCCAGATAAGAAAAGCTAATATTAGTTAAAACCAGAGAAACTCCAGCCTAGCTAGCTGGCAGGGAGATAGCATTTTTGGAATGATAGCTAGCTGTAGTACTCCTGGTTTCTGTGGAGTGAAAGAGATTTATGAGGAGCTGTATTTTACTGTGAATTCTGCATAGTATGTGCAAGTGTGGGAAACCAAAGCCAATTTGATTTTGTTAACAAACTCTGATGCCTGGCAAGTTCAGAGGTACTTCATGATAGAGCTAACCTGGCAAGAAGGAACAGGAACATAGCTCCTAGGTATATTCCATTATGGAAGGTCTTTATTTCTGACTATTTTTCTTTCTTCTATTTTTCCTTTTGTTTTGCTTACATATATCAGGGACTTTGAAACTTCACATTGCCAGGTTAAATTATTCAACAGATTCCTTGCTTCAGGTCAGATTGCTTTGTGCTCTGTGCTTTACATCTCACCCCTGTTTGTTTTTCCTTAAATACAGTTAGTGACATTTTTTTTCCTTCCTAACAACTCAGCGGTTGGCTTTAACTGATGCATATTTTCTAAACAATAATTTGAAGTGCTGTTACAGTGTTATGAAAAGGATCTATACTCTGCAGCAGCAGATGGCTGTTTCATCCCAAGTACCTGGATATAAATGGCAAATCTGAAATGGTATTGTTCATATTCAGCATTGAATTTCCTTTCTCGCTCTTCCCTTCTCATCGTAATATCCAGGGATCAGTAGGCAGACAACCCAGCTTCTTGTGGTAAAATTGGCTGAGGAGGACTCGATAAGGAGTCAATATATCATCTGGTCTTTCTTTAGACCAAATTGCCGTTTTTTTATTCCAATGGAAATACTTGGGGGGGAGACATGCAAAATAGTGTGGCCAGCAGGACCAGGGAAGTTCTCTTACCCCTGTACTGGGCACTGGTGAGGCCACACTTTGAGTGCTGATTTCAGTTTTGGACCCCTCACTATAAGAAGAACATGGAGATGCTGGAGTGTCTCCTGAGAAGGGCGATGAAGCTGGAGAAGGGTCTGGAGCACAAGTATGATGAGGAACAGCTGAGGGAACTGGGGTTGTTTAGCCTGGAGAAAAGGAGGCTGAGGGGAGACCTTCTGGCTCTCTCCAACTCCCTGAAAGGAGGGTGTAGAGAGGTAGGGGTTGGTCTCTTCTTCCAAGTAACAAGTGACAAGACAAGAGGAAATGTCCTCAAGTTGCACCAAGGTCAGCTGAGATTGGGTGTGAGGAAGAATTTCTTTGCTGAAAGGGTTCTGAGGCATTGGAAGGGGTTGGCCAGGGCAGTGGTGGAGTCCCCATCCCTGGAGGGATTGAAGAGTCAAGTAGACATAGTGCTGAGGGACATAGTTTAGTCAGGGACTTGTCAATGTGAGATTAATGATTGGACTGGATGATCTTAAAGGGCTTTTCCAATGCACTTAATTCAGTGATTCTGTAATAATTCAATAAATTGCAGTAAACTCTATCTAACCAAACGTACGTGTAAAAACACCTTCATGTGTTTTAAGCTGTGTTCACTTAAAACTCCGTAAAAGAAGCAGAACAAAACAAACAGACTGAAGGGTAGAAAGAATTTTGTTTATATTGCAAGTAACAGAAACCAAAGACTGATGTCACTGGAAATTTAGACAACAGAGACAAATGAGCATTTTGGGCTTTTTAATATTATTTATTTATTTATTTATTCCCTAATCATCTTTTATTAAACAGTTAAATGAGAGCAGAACAACACATTAAAGTTAATTCTTAATTCTTAAAATTTTGCTAAACTTTAGCTTTCACTTTTCAATTATTTTTATCAAAAAACCCAAACAACTTCCCCCCATCCCCCCCAAAAAAAAATCATATCTAATTTCTTCTCATTTGCTGGCAATAATTTACTACCACACTGCTCAAGTGCAATCTGAAATTATTTAAACTTCATTGCTTTTACAAAATATTCTGCAGTATTTACAAGTTATGAATAATACAATACATAATTAAAGCTTCATTATACTTGACAAGTGAATGAATGAATTCCATTTTGTGATGCATTACTCAGTCTTTGGTTGGGTTTTTGTTTGGTTTTTTTTTGTTTTGTTTTATTATGATTTCTCACAGCTTTTTAAACCTCTTGTTTCTCTTACTGTTTTAGTTATTCAACAATTTGGTATATTCTAGAATTCACAATGGGACTCCCAGGCTTCATCGCAAATTAATGTGATTCTATTGCATTATTTGATTAAATATTGTGCCACTTATATTCTCATAACAAACTTCAGTAGAAGGATGTGGATTATGCTGAGTTTTTCAAAAGTGGTGTGGAAGCAATCAGACCTTTTTGTGTGATGGACTAGAGGTGCAACAGGACACAAGCAGATAAATGAATTATGGTGACTTCAGGAGAAGAAGATTCTTAGGAAATATTTTCAATGCTTTAGAAAGCATCCAGTGCTGAGTTCCCCACTACAGGGGATACATGGAAATACTGTTGGCCAGTCTGTAGAGTCTTAGTTTGTGGAGATATACAAAATCTGATGGCCCTGAGCAACCTTCTCTAATTGACTTCTTTGAGTAGGGGTGTTGGACTACATGATTTCCAGAGGTTCCTACAAACCTCAATGATTCTGTGACTTGTAGAGCTTAAAAAAAATCATCTTGTTTGAGTGTTTTGGTTTTTTGTTGGGTTTTTTGGGTGTTTTTTTTTTGTTGTTGTTGTGTTGGTTTTGGTTGGGTTTTTTGTTTGTTTGTTTTGGTTTTTTTTGTTTATGCTCTGCTAATATTGCCTTCCTGGTAGTGTATTTAGCAAAATCTATATTATTATATCTATTATTGCTAGATTAATTCTTTTTATAAGAGCCAGAGTCATATGAAGTTAATATATGCTTATATGTGCTCTTGTATATTGTAAGTGTTCAGAAATGAGGGAAACAAACTCAATGGCAATTTACTATGTTTTATCTAAGAAAATTTCAATGCTAAATCTAGGGGGTTTCATGTTTTTTTGGGTTTTTTCACACTTGAAATTGTATAAGTGAATCCATTCATCAAACAGGTCTTTCCTCATTGTCTTACCAATGAGTTTTCAAATTTGGTGTAAGAATCTGCACTCTGGACCTGCATCAAAAATAACTTTTTTTTTTAGTAAGAGAAGGTTTTGCTGCTGTTTTTTATTGTTTTTTTTCACTCTCAGTTCTCCAAAGTTCTTAAAAACAACCGTATAATCTGATCATTCTACTTATTTCTTATAGAAAGCTTGAGTCAATTGTCTGACTTAAATCCAGCAAACCATGGCTTCGTTTAAGGGGATTTTTGATTATATTTTTTTTTTTAATTCTACACAGACGAGGCTTTCTGCTTTCATTTTTTTCTTTGCAAACTGTGACTGTGGAACATGCCCTTTTATGCTTGGATATAAACCTTTTATCATTAATATTAGACTTCTTGTCTTTTCAGAGTGATATGTTGGATGTGAACCAGATCATTAAAGACTTGGCCTCCATGGTGCATGAACAAGGAGACACAATAGGTAGGTATCACCATTAAAGTATGGACTTTATTACCCTCCTGCATCATTCCAATCTGATGTCATATGTTGCTTCATGAGCAGCTTTGGTGCTCTGATTTGGGCATTTTGTACTTCCAGGGATGTTTTGATCTGACAGGCTGCCATTTGTGATAGAGTTCTCATATTAAGAATAGTTACCTGGTGTATTTAGCATAAAATTGAATTTACAGTGAAATTAATCCATTCCCTTTTGATAGTAAAAAGGAAGCTGGAGAATACATAACACTAACTCAAAAAGATCCAGTTCTTCCTTTCTACCTGGAACTGTAATTAAAAAAAAAACCAAACTAACAATAGTAGTGGCAACTATTACAACTATTGACGGTGGTGGAGACAATTAAGCAGCTTGCTTCTCCTAAGTGGAATTTTATTTCTGCATTACATTGTGTGTCTGATTAAATTTACAGTAGCCTAACTTCATAGTTGGAAGCTTCTGCCAACTAGTTGACCTCCTCTTGCTCTCCAGCTACCAGTGGCTAGGAGCACAGTGGAGAAAACTTGAAAAAAGAGATGAGATTAGCCCTTGTTTTTATTTTTAAGAGTAACCCATCACTGACAGCCACCACTTTTTGTGAGTAGAGGGATAAAACAGACTAGATTAGCTCCTTTTAAATTCTCTCTGACCCTTGTCTTTGTCACTGCTGTCTTCTGAAGCTAAGAACAGACATTTATTTCTGTATCTCTCATTTTGTATATTTGTATTTTGTATGATACTTCAGAAGCTTCAGAAGCAACTGTCTACTTCCAAATTTGAGAGCTAGTAGTCCTAAAACCGTGTTGAGGGACTTAAACTCTAGAAAAGTAAGATTTGTGGAGATATTTCTAAACTGCTTAGCTGGAATTCTCATTGGAGCTCCTAGGAGCTGGATCATGTCTGAAGACAGCCATATGTAGATCATGAAAGAAGAAACACTTCTCTGCTGTTTATTAACGACTCCAGATTTTTTTGCCAAGCTCATACCTTTGCAAGTTTCCGTTAGCATAAGGTGTCTCCTTTCACATTGAAATGAGATAGCTGCATCACACTGAGAAACACCACTCAGATTCACAGGTGCAGATAAAGATCAAGATGATATCTAAACCCAACTTTTTTTTTATTATTTTATTTTAATTTGTGCTTTTTTGGAAGCTCATTTTTTTTACATGGATAACTTTGGAGCCTGATTTGTCTCCTAAAAATACATCAGTTGTTAATTCCTCGAGGGATATGACAACATACATCAGCTAGTTTCAAGATCCTTGTAACTCCTTTTCTTAAGGCAATATTTATTATTTTAAGATGTTGCCCATGCACAGAAGCGACCTCACTATTAACTTGACTGTGAAAAAACAGTTAAACTAAGTTTTGTCTTTGAGCCAGCATAAGGTTTTTGGGGTTTGGGGTTTTTTTGTTGTTATTGTTTTGGGTTTTTTTCTGCCATGTTCTTTCTTCCTGTTTCACTGCAGAAGACTTTTAATATCTTTTTTTAGGAGTATCTTTTCAGCCTTGCAGCCAGTCAAAGTATCTTCCCAAACAATTTCTGAAAGGTCCCACTGTTTGCCTTTTGACATTCAAAATGTACAGAAGTAAGTGAGATTAAAAATCAGGAGGCAAAGGGAGTTGAAACCCCCCCAGTGAAAATTCAAAAGCAATGATAAGACACATTTCTCCTGGCACTTGTTTTATTTAGAAAACAAGTTTTATTCATGCTTACATTTGTGGAATGAAACCTCTCTGTGTGCTTATTTAGAAAACATAGGGAAAGTATATATGTGAGGTTCACCAGGATGCGTGAGGTTCATCAATCAGCAAAATGCTCTCAGGGTTGTAAAGAAAACTACTCTCTGGTTCACCTGAGCTGGAGACTATTAATAGGAAGAGCTTGTTTGGTCTGTGTGACACAGGCAGAGTAACCTATACTTTTTACAAAAACCTAAAAGTAGTTTTGCTAGCATGTGGGGCAGTTCCTTAATGAACACATCTATAACACTCTGTAGGGTAGAGAGCATTTCCTGCCATGTAAAGAGGAAATAGATGAGGGAAAATGCAGACTCGGGGCAGCATATCTCTCTTTTTTATATTTTTTTTTTATATTCTGAAAATAAACTCCATGCCTGTGTTCATAGTCATAACATCTCTTTGATATGAATATTTAACTAAGCATTACTGTATCAGTGAGTTCAAGCCATCGAAGCCAAAACAAGCAAGTGGCCTAGGTTACCTTTGAATCAACAGAAAGTTTTCAACATAATCTTACAGGAGCTCTTGGCAAAAGCATCCCTATGCAGCTTGATCATGTAGGATGCTGGTGAGGGGAATGGGTGCAAGGAGGAAGATACTAATAGAAGAAATCAATAAGTGGCTGAAGATTTGGTGTTGGCAACATGGTTTTGGGTTCTATAACCATAGGACCCTGTTTACATATGCCTGGGAGACATGGGATCCACCTCACTAGGCAGGGCAAACTATTTTTGACAATGGGATGGCTGACCTCATAAGGAGGGCTTTAAACTAGGAATGATGGTGGAGGGACAGTGTGACCAGTAGTACTGTGAGGGAACAATGGAGAGGACTGCTGAATAAAGGGCATGGGGTGGTGTGACAGGAAGGATTCACAAAATCATCACAATGGGGCCTGAGCAGGGTCACATCTAACACTTGCATGTAGGCAGTGAGGTGCCTACAAGGCACCGTTGTGGACAAATATCCGAAACCTGATCCAGGAACTCAACATGCTGGGATGCATCTCTGAAGTGCCTGTACACTCATGCACATAGTATAAGGGATTAACATTAAGAGCTGGAGATTTGTGGGGCTATGATTATGTTGAAATCATGGAGAGATGGTGGGATGGCTCCTATGACTAGAGTATTGCATTGGAAGGATACGGGTTATTTAGGAGGAACAGTTTAGGAAGATGATGATGAGAAGGAATTTCCCTTTATGTAAGAGAGCAGCTGGAGTGTGTGGAGCTCTACCTGGGGATAGTTCATAGACTGATGGTGAGTTTATGGGTTAGGGTTCAAAAGAGGACAGGGAAAGTGGATAAGACTCTCTTTGCAGACAGATAGGAACTGCCTCATGTTTCAGGCTCTGGACCTCATGGGGGACTTCAGCCATCACAATATTTATTGGAGGGACAACACAGCAGAACATAAATAATCCAGGATGTTCTGGAGTGCATTAATGATAACTTCAGAGATCTGATGTACAAATGGCAAGATCTCCAGATGGTTAGAAGAAGGCCATCTCCACTGCTAAACTTTACTCTCAGGGTGGTAAAAGGGTTCTTCAGCCAGAGTATCCAAGGCAAGGCTTAAGGACTTGGCACTGTGATAAGTAAATTATGTTGAGAGTGATTGCTGGAGCAACACTCCCTCCTTTCCATGCTCATAGATGACCACTCAACTGAACTACAACTGCCTCAACAGCTTGGAACATTCCCAGTATTTCATACTGAATATAGCTATTTTGCATGTGGAAGCTTGTTCTTTCATTGGCTGTTCTGGAATAAGCAGACATAGTTCTATTAAGTCAATTTTATCACTGGTGTTGGAAAGAAGAGAATCCTTCAGTGCCCTGTTCCTCTGAAGAAAATGTCAACAACACAGTTGCCAACACTTGTATTAGTACCTGATGAAGGCAAGTGTATATTTGACCACCACTATAGGCTTCTCTTTGTCTTGTAACAGAGAATAAAGATGACTTGAATAATACAGTTACTGCTTTTTGCCCATAGCAAAAGAAAATGCTGTTGTGTTTTTGTTTTGGAAGAGCTGTTTTGCCATTCTACCTGTGTGTGTCACCTTACTAGTTATGCCAAAATAGCATGCAAGATCTACATCTCTTATCTAAACGTCTCTAATTCAACTTTCACCACTTATGTCACTGCTTGCAGCTCCATCACACTTCTCAAAGCCACAGAACCTATGTTCTGAAAACTTTTTACACTTTTAAGAGCCATGTTTCTTCCTGTGTTGGACAGTGTTGGAAACAACTTTCTCCCAGTGTATCTATAACCTCGTCAGTTCCCTAAAATGGGAAAAGGTCCCATACCATCATCTATTTAAAGATTACAACAACAAAGACACAGGAACTAATTTACCAGTCCTCTATCTCTTTGTCTAGACCAAATGTATGCAAATCTATCTTTACACAGCAAATCCCACTGGCTGAAACAAGATGCTACTGCTTCAAGCAAAAGAATCCCTCAGACTTTCTTTTTCTTCCATTACTTATCCAGGTTTAGATCATGGTGCTACTAACCTTTTACTTTGCTTTTGATGTCTGGGCATTTTATATTTGAAATTAATAGATTGAAGAAACTTCATAATGTGATCTAAAGTGGATAGTCCCTCACTTTACAAACATAACTACATGGTATCTGTCAGGCTAGAGCCCACAGACCTGCCAAGATAAATATAAACATGACAGCTGGTGCTTTCCTTCAGTCTCAGAAGAGCTTCCTGATGGTGTCAATATATTCAGTCCTCAAGTAATGCTGGTGTTCACTGACATAGCACATTGTCACTTATTGTCTGATAATAATAATAAACCTCTTTCAAAATAAAATATATTTGCAAGAATGAAAAAATATTGCTTATTTTAGAAGCTTTTGAATATGGGGAAGTTTTTTTAGGTTCGAAATTTCTTTGTTGGGTATTTTTTGACTGTGAAATTAGCTCAGCTTTGTTACCTGTTCTACTGTTTTTGCCTTTCTGACCTGAAGGCTGATTTAATATGTGGACACTGGCCCATCAGCACTCTTCCACACATGTTCCTCTCCAATCTGACTGCTTGAATGGCATAGCCAAGAGTGTTATCAGATGCGCCAATGCAAACAAATCTGGGAAGTCATTCAACTAGAGCCTTAACTAAACTCTCCTGAGTTATGTGTCAGCTGGGACATCTGCAGAAAATGAACATCTGGAGAATAGTCCCTTAATACCTGAATGTAACAACTTTAATATCTACGTTCAGT